CTTGTCGATACCCCGTGTAGCTGCTGCCCAGTCGCACCGCCAATTTCACCAATCGGCTTTGTCGTTGCATCGTCTATTTAAAATTCCGCTAGCTGACGCACGGTCTATAATAGCCGCATGTCCAGCCTGTAGTCACCCTGCTCCTCTGCCGTCTGGGGTAAATCGGAGAGGACTGCGCCCCAACGAGCTGTGGCAGATGGACGTTACAGAATATGCGCCTTTCGGACGTTTCCGGTCTCCACGTCGCGGTGGATACCTGTAGTGGTATGATGTGGGCTACTGCTCTCACAGCACAGAAAGCTCGAGAGTGCATTCATGCCCTGCGCATTGCAGTTGCGGTCATGGGCATCCCGCACACTCTAAAAACAGATAATGGTCCAGGCTACACTAGTCGGCTCTTTGGCCAATGGTGTTGTACCTGGGCATCACTCATATTGGGTATTCCTATAATTCTACTGGGCAAGCCATTATTGAGCGTACTCATCTGGCTTTGAAAGCTCTCCTCGATGCCCTTAAAGAGGGGGGAATGGAGGCGACCGGCTATGGAGATTCCTGTCCGCACCTTTGTTATTAAGGCCCTTTTTAGTTTAAATCATTTGGAAGGTCGATCCGCAGACCATGCTATGACAGAACGCGTACCTTTAGGGGTTGTTCAGGTACGCCTGGACGGTGGGCCGTGGAATCGGGATCCGGTACCCCTGTTAGTTATGGGTCGGGGTTACGCCTGTGTACAACTACCATCGGGGGTTCGATGGGTTCCAGCCCGATGGGTACGTCCGTTCCCTGAGCAGGTGGACTCAAAGGAACAGGAAATGAGTAAGTAACTTTCTTCCCTTTACAGCGACTCCTGCTTGTCCTCGCCTTATGCCCTGCAGTGTACGGGGGCTACTGGCAGGAGTATGCTGTGGGCTACCGGACCGCTCCGCTGTTCCCAACGCCATACGCTTACAACCTACGGTCTGCTGAGCCAGTACTCAACGGGACACTTCGTGGGTTGTTCCCTGTTACTTGCCAGGGAAGGAAGCTGACTACAATCCGTATCAATGCCACCGTGCAGGCAGGTATCAATCTGACACATGAAACACTCTTGTCATCGGACAGCACCACACATGCGACGGAGGACGGAAAAGAAACCGTTCTGCCGACGGCACAATTGTGCGGCTCCATTGACATTTGGGACAATGGGACAATAGCGGATGTGACCGTTCTGCCATGGACAGTTAAGACCACGGTGCGCAATCAGTCGGTGGCCTGGTTGTGGGTGGGGCCACCGGGCCAAGCTCCTGCACCGGTGGACTTTTTCCCTGGGGATGCTTGGACTGTAAATAGCCGTGCGACGGCCCTTTATCAATCGGTCCGCGTCGCATGTTTCGAACTCTGCTCATTGGCGTTTACCTAACCCCTATTGGTTGCTCTGTTCTCAGGAACGTGCTTGGAAGGTGATTCCAGCTAACACGACACTTGGTTTGTGCTCTATGGGTCTGCTATTGTGGCCACATCGCACTGCTCGCAGCCCGAGCAACCCGAGGAGTCTGTAAAATTCCGGTGTTGTTAAAAATGAGAGATAAAAAGGTCAGTTCAGTGCACACAGCAAGCAAGGAGCAATCAAGAGGAAAATTTAATGATAGGGTTAATTAGAGATTTCGCAAAAATGCAGAATGTGAGTCAAGTGACCGCTTGTTTACCTATACCTAAATCCGCAGGTGATCCTATACCCTGGGGTATAATCACATCACCGATACCCCAGATTGAGAAAAACAAAACAATCCAATGTGAATCGGAAACGGTCATAGAGACAGAAATGCTGGAAGGGTTTTATAGAGAGTGTCAGATTCACCTTTATTCTGGGCGTCAAAAGGAAAGAAATTACATATTTACGGACCTAGACAACGAGGATGGACGACTAGGGATGTGTGAGTATGATGCACCACGCACACGACAAAAGGAAAAGGTTATATGGAAGTGTAAAGAAGGTAATGAGATAGGAGGATTAGAGGGTTGGGAGTCAGCATGGGCATTAAATATACTGCAGAAATACCAATATGGGGGGAATACTCCTTGGTGTTTGCAGTGGGTAGGAAGGACGAATAATGACCAGAGTTTACTATATGAGACGGCTCAGAGGGAAACTAGTAGTCGGGAGAGGGTAAAGGCAGTCCCGTGGTGGAATTGTACACAAATATTCAATTGTGACACTGCTTTAGAAACAATATCTCTGCTCCCAGTAAAGATAGCCTTAGCCACCGGATGTGCATGCAGAGGTCTACAAGTTAACATGAGTATCACCAATCGGAATATAGCCAGCCAGACTGGCAGGGAAAAGACCTTAGTGAATTGTAAATCTTCGACTATACGAAGCATGGGACATTTTGTGTGGGCCGCCAGTGATGGAAATTGGACGACCATTTAAGTTTGGATGGCCCAGTAAAAGAAATAACTTTAGGATTGCCCACCCTTTGCCCGCTTTGGAAAAAATCTCCTCTCATAGAGAGAAGGACAAAAAGAGAAGTAAGTGAAGAAGACGATGAGTGGCAGGAACTGTCCACTGGGATAAAAATAGGATTGGTGGTAGAATCGTTTGCCCCGATAGCCTCCTACCACAATAGGGAGCTGATATACAATTTGATGGGGCAAGTACATAGACTGGCCAACATGACCAAAAGGGGTTTAAGGAATTAAATATACAGTTACAAGCCACAACAAGAATGACCCTGCAGAATAGATTGGCCCTGGATATGCTTCTGTTAAAGGAACAGGGCGTCTGTGGATACCTTAAAGATAAGGTTGACCATTGTTGTATACACATTCCGAATGTAACTGCCGATGTAGAACGTGATATCCCAAATAGCCCAGGTAGAAGACAAAATAAAAGAAGAGCAGCGTGACGCAGAACAGAATTGCCTGGGGGCAACTCTCGAGGGGTTAGGCTTTCAGCTAGAAGGATGGCTTAAATCGCTCTTACAAACAATATTGCTACTAGTAATAGTATTCATTGGGATAGGGCTAGTATATGCATGTATTAAAGCAAAAATAGCTAGAAGCAGTATAATGAATCGCAGCATGCCGACCATTGTCACCAAAAATCATGAAGGGTTCCCATTGTCACCGCTTGCTCCTGGGACGGATACTCGTCCCTAAGTAATTATGATTAAATCACGCTTAGTGTAACGGGTTAAAGAGGGTACGTTACTGCATAAAGAGGGGGGAGGTGTCCTCTGTAGGGGAAGAAAGACCTGTGTTGGACAAGATGCGCTGTGCCTCTTCTCAGTGAGCTCAGCGCAGAACCCCAAGTATCAGAGAAGGGGTTTGAACTGTACATTTCTTTTGGACAGCGGTAAATGCTCTCTTTTGTGCTCCACAAACAGCACCATTTAGAGCCTGACAGATTGCTGTCACAGGGCCCCTGCTTGAAGAGCTTTTTCCTTTGTTCTATCTGCCCATTCAAGCTCTGCTTGGGGAGAGGCACTTTCTGCCTCACCGTTCCTGAGGAAGTGAGATGGGAAGGAGCTGAGCACTCCTCTGGACACAGACATCAGAAAAGCATTGTCCAAGTGATTAGCTCTCATCTCGTACACAGTAACAAACATACACAGTAAACTAGTCTGGCAGCCTCACTGCCAACACTGGTAGTTTCTTACACAAGCCGTGCATGTTTTCCTAGAAATTTGCCATACATGCAGAAAGTCACATGATGGATTGAAAAGCATGGGCACATTCTCTAAAGGACGAGGTTATCTTTTTTCAGGTTATATACCTCTATCTGTAAGCTGTTTCTATCACACACAGAATATAGCTCAATATGGAACATGTCCAACAAACAAGTCCTTCCAGTCTAGTCAACCAACAAAGACACTCTGGTACACTGAGCAGAGCTGAATCTCAGACCTCACAGGGACTTTCTTCTTGGGTTCCCCACACAGGAGCTCTCCAGGGGCTCCCTGTGCTAATCTATGCAATCAAGGTGCGACTGCCAAATGCTGTAACCAGCTGCTGCTGATATGGGGCCAGAAAAATGAAAGGAACAGGGAAGGGAGGAGAGGCCCAGGAGGCTGTGGTCCAAAGCAAGACCACAGAGGAACCAAAATCAGAAGCAAAGAATTCTTGTGCTGCAAGAACCACATGAAAAGCAACGAACCTGCCTGCCTGCAATGCTTCTGCCTGGGCAGGTGCTTAGTACTTCCAGTACCTACAGGTATATATTTGACCATGTCCCTTGCACTCACATATTCTCACCCAGCAGAGTAAAGATGCAGGCTTCAGGGCTCACACTCTTCAAAAGGTCCCAGCTTCCATTCATGAGGCTGTGGAGTCCCTTTCTCTGGAGATATTCAATGCCCACCTGGACGCCTACCTGGGCAACCTGCTCTAGGGAACCTGCTTTGGCAGGGGGGTTGGACCCAATGCTCTCTTCACGTCCCTCCCAACCCCTACAATTCTGTGATTCTGTGAAATGAAAAGCTGCTCATTTCACACAGTTTAAATCTAATCAGGGTCAAAGCAGTTGTCTCAGATTCCCTTCTTGGCACGAAATCGAGAAATTGAAGAGTCCAGGGAGTGGAAGAAGCAGAAAAAAAAATGTTAATTTTCCTGTGTTCTTCTGTATTAGATCAATGTTTACCATTACATTTGTAGAAACAGAAACCAAGGCACTGGAGAGCACAGATCTGAGCCATCCCTTACAAAAGGATGAAGTGCTTTTGGCTAGATTTGTGAACTGGACTGGAGCTGAGGGGCTATATGTGGGCAGAGAATGGGACGAGTGATCACAAGGTAGAACTGGAGCAACCCACCCTCTTCCACTGGCCCAGGACATGTTTTCAGAGTATCCTAAGTCAGACTGTAAAACACAGCATTTTCTTTCCTCATCTCTCCATCTTCCTTCCCTAGGGCAATCCAGCTCTGGCTGACAATCCCGTTCCCAAACTCAAAGGCTGACTTACACCAGAATAAATGTGGGGCACGTGCTCAGTGTTACTCCCAAGGCTCTTAGCATCACTCACTTTGGCTTGCAGATCCATTGGGGATGCAGTGCCACTCCGAAGCATTCTGGGGCAGAGTCTTGTACTGGCCACAGCTCCTGTGAAAGAGAACAACTGGGAAGAGGGGAAAGAGAAGGAAGGCGCTACTGTCATCCTTTCATCCTCACTCATGGGCAAGTTGTCCTGCCCTCCACCTTCTGGCTGAGAGCTCCCTCGGAGACTCGGTTACACCAACAAGCTCTGAAAATTGTATCCTGAAGGAAAAGAGCAGACAGCTTTCCCCACTACGGGTCACTCCCTCCCTTGGGCAAACACTGATCAGATGAGCCCCCTCACCTCAGCTGGCTGAGACTCATTTTCCCAGCCGACAAAGCCCAGCTAAGACATCCTTAAAGGATGGGGTCAGGAAAAGGTCAAAGAAGTTGTGAGATCATCCTAGTAAAGGTGGAATATCAATATGCATTCCCTCTTAATCTGCCTGTGTTCTGCAGCTTTAGAGTACCCTTTTCACGCATACCAAGAAGGGGAAGAACTGCTGAGTGCTGAGGCCTCACCCAAGGGAGCTGAACACCACAGGAGAGTTATCGCAGAGCAGTAACGATACTCCAGGACACTACACGCAACATATTTCCCTTCTGTTTGTTCCAGGCGATGTGGGTGGGATGCAGCTGGAGCATTTTGGTGAATTTACACCTCACTCTGCTCAACCGTGGGCAGCCCTGGTAGCAGGATGTCCAGGGAGATCATGCTGGCTCCTCGGCTGCAACAGGGTCACGAGGAGCTCTGAGGGACACCACAAATGCGGCCAGGAGAACTGAGAGCCAACAGCCAGCCCTCGGGGAACCTGCTCAGATGTCGTCTGGCACTAAGGAGACTTCTCGGCCCTGTTGCAGTGGGAGGGCAGGAACTGATGGGTTTCACCCAGGACTGGCTGGATTCGGCAGCTGGGAAGTGAGAGGAGCTGTGGGAAGGCCCTGCCAGGACACTACCTGCTAACTGTGCAAGGGACGCGGCTCCCCAGCTAAGAGGCAGCGTGGGAAAGGGGCAGCAGAACAGGCTGTTTGGGTGCAGGGCAGTCGCCTGCTGGCAAAGAGGCTGGGGTTTTCTTTGTCCACCTGACACCAGGCAACTCCAGGCCCCGTTCCCTTCCTCCCCGCGGAAGTAAAGGGACCCTGGCACCCACCGAGGCCAACGGTCATAAGGGCAGTTTTGACGGCAAGGGCAGAAACGAGGAAGACCCAGGGGCTCAGGCGGGAACAGCTGCTCCCTTCTGCTGGGGCTGAAAAAACACAAGGCAAGAGTGGAAATCCCCGGCCCAGAGTCGGGGGGCAGGATAATCCAAGGGGCTGCGTGACCTGACAGCCTGCTGATAACCCTGTCCCAAGGCCTGGCAGGTCCCACAGGCGCTGTAACCAGCTCGTGCTGTCTGTCACTGGCAGTGGGTCACACCTGCAGCGTAGGGCAACACGGGGACTGCCCTCTTGCTTCATGTCAAAAGCCATAGCTGCGATCTTCCCAAGCTGCACTACTTTTCTTCTCCCGTCACACCTCTTTTCTCCCCTGCACACCGTCCTGGTTGCCCTCCCTTACCCTGTCTTTCACTGAATGCTCTTTCTCTACCTCCCTCCTCCTCAGCTTTCTTTGGAGCTTCTTTCTCTCAGCGACCCAACTCTTAGCTGGGCTCTGTCCCCCAGCCTCTTTTGCGCAACAGCGAGTGGTCACTTACTCAAAGGACTGACAGTCCAGCTCGGTGTCTGGCAGCAGACACGCAGAAGAGATGGTTTCTACCCTGAGAATGGGCACTGGGTCTTTCTCCTGGTACACAGCCAGCCATGGTACCATGCCCTTCATATTTCCCAGCCCCGTATTTTCCCCCACCTTCTCCTTCTCCTAGAGGAGGACAGAAAGGAAGGCTTTATGGTTACCTGCAGTCCAGGACTGACCCTCTCTTGCTGGTTCATTATCGCTGCCAACACCATCGCTCTTCTCCACCAAGAGTCCGTCCACGTTACCAGTATGGCCACAAGCACAGCCCTCCTGCAGGAGGAGGAGCTAGAGCAGCTCCCACAGTGCTGGGCAGTCTGCACGGACTCAAATCTGATGTGCAGACAGAGCCATAGCTGGGGTATTTCTCACAGCACATGGAGAGAGGCGAATTTTCACCATTCCTCTGTCAGGACGTTTCACAAGACGCTTGTTGCAAAAAAGAAACTCACAGAGGCAAAGGAGAACAGATGAAAACTAGAACCACTGCCACTCAGACCATCTTCTTCTGCACATTTTCAAGCAGCATTACAAGACATTAGTGGTGTTTTTATCCTCCCCTGGTGAGAGAGAACGAGTGTGCAAATGCCTGTGCTGTTGGTATTTGCTAGCAAAGCAAATTAAATAATAATAAACACACTCACAAGGGCACGTGACTTGCTGATATGGAGCCGGAGATCAGAAGGGATCACCAGATCATGTCAGCAGCCCTGCCTGTGACAGATCAAGAAACTTTACTCTGTCACCACTACGTGAGGCACACATGGTGCTTGTAGCACTGCTCGGGGTGACTTGATTGAAAACTCTGAAGGATGTAAGCATCCCTAAGGATATCCCGAAGGAAAAAGAAGCCCTGCTGGGCCTCTCTGCGCTCTGAACTGAGTGCTGTGGGCATGCAGACACTGCTCTTCCACACCCATCAGTTAGCTTTGTCCCTGTGAAGAGGCAGGCAAGTATGCAGGTGCTGAGGAAGACATGGGATAGCTAAAAACATGAGCATCAAAGGCTCAGAAGGGCAGGGCACACAGCTGGTGGTAAATGAGGACAAACCTAAACCGTGTGTAGAAATGTGCACAAAAGGCTCAGACCATGCCAACAGAGCTGTTGCATTGGAAAGACGGTCCATAAATGTGCTTGCTGGTATTGTCCTAGAAGGAAGTAGCTACTAGAAGGTACTTGCTACTGGGTTCACAGCACAGTGAGAGATTCTAGAATGAAATTTTAGAACAAAGCGTGGTAACAAAGATGAATTGTACCACTCATGCCCCAAAATGAGAATGTGTGTTGTGTGCTGTTTGTTCTTGCTCTGTAATATGCCTGACTCTGTGGTTGAGCTGAGGGTGGCTGATCAGGAAGGAAATGCAGAGGGTAGGGAACTGTTACAGGGAAAATCTGCTCATATTGCACAGCTTAAATCTAATCGGTCTTGATGCAGTACATTAATGACACGTAGTTAACTGGCAACCCACGATCCATATATTCGGGATCATTATCAGGAATATTATCAGGAATAATATTATCAGGAATAGTATCAGGAATATTTGGTATGGGAGGCACGGTGGTGGAGATCTACTACAGGTGTCCAGATCAGGAGGAGGAAGTCAATGAGGCCTTCTACGAGCAGCTGCTAGTAGCCTCACGATCACGAGCGCTGGTCCTCATGGGGGACTTCAATTACCCAGACATCTGCTGGGTAAGCAACTCGGCCAGGCACGAGCAGCCCAAACAGTTCCTACAATGCGTTGACGACAATTTTCTGACGCAGGTGGTGGAGGAGCCGACGAGGCAGGGGGTGTTCCTGGACCTCGTTCTTACCAACAGGGATGGGCTTGTTAGGGATGTGAAGGTTGGGGGCAGCTTGGGATGCAGCGACCATGAGATGGTGGAGTTCCAGGTGGGACTAGGCAAAGGAAGTAAGGCTAAAAGCAGGATTGCTACCCTGGACTTCTGAAGAGCCAACTTCAACCTCTTCCGGGACCTGCTTGGGAGTATCTCATGGGATAGGTTGCTAGAAAGCAAGGGCGCTTGTGAGAGCTGGGCTACATTTAAGCAGCACTTCTTCCATGCTCAGGGTCTGTGCATCCCAAGGAATAGGAAATTGGGGAAGGGGGGCAAGAAACCCGCATGGAGAAGCAAGGAGCTCATCCATAAGATCAAGAGGAAGAGGAGGGTCTATGAAATGTGGAAAAAGGGCCTGTCCTCTTGGGAGGAGTATAGATGTGTTGTCAGGGCCTGCAGGGACGCGACGAGGAAGGCTAAAGCCCACCTAGAGATGAGACTTGCGAAAGAGATGAAGTATAATAAGAAGGGTTTTTTCAAGTATGTAAACAGCAAGAGGAAGACTAGAGATAAGGTGGGTCCCTTCCTGAATGAGGGGGTTGTCCTGGTCACAGGGGACGCTGAGAAGGCAGAGATACTGAATGCTTTCTTTGCTTCAGTCTTTGCTTCAAGGACACTCCCCTGGGACTCTGTTGTTTGTCCTCTTCACGGTGAGGGTGACGGAGCATTGGAACAGGCTGCCTAGGGAGGTTGTGGAGTCTCCTTCCCTGGAGATATTCAAGGCCTGTCTGGACGCCTACCTGGGCAGCCTGCTCTGAGGAACCTCCTTTGGCAGGGGGGTTGGACCCGATGATCTTTCGAGTTCCCTTTCTACCCCTACAGTTCTCTGATTCTGTGATTCTGTGATATAATGGATCAATGACACATTAATAAACAGCTATGTGTTTCTAAACAGCTTTCTGCACTACCCCCCCAGAACTCCAGACCCCACATGTGATCACTCACACTTGCACAAGCTCCTGACCCTGCCTCACTCTGCGTGGGAAGTGCAGCTTACAAGAACACATCCTCTTTTCTGGCGTGTGGGTTCCCCTGTTTACAGGGGCTTCCTGCTGCTGGTGCAGGTTCTGTGTGCGTCCACACACTTCATGCAGTCTGCTGACCCACAGGCTGCTGAGGAAGCTCAAGGGCACATGCATCTGCTGAAGCTCTGGTGTGCTTGCTGTGCCCTTACAGCCAGGAATGACAGCTAAATGCCTGCCCATGGCATCCAACTCTGCTTATAGATGCTCCAACCTGGCAGAGTTGCCAGGGTCTCTCGTGCCTGTCCCTGAACCACTGAAGACAGTGGTACTTGGTTTTACAAGTCATTGCTAGGAAATGCTAGTTGGAGGCCCCGGAGAATCTTGAGTCTACTTTCCCAGACCCTTGCAGTACAGACAAGAGCCAACAAGAACAGCACGGATACAAACAAGATCAGTGGGATGTGGACAGAAGAAAATACTGCAGCAACAGGGGTCTTGTGTGACCTTGCAATCTAGAGTGCAGCTACTGGATACTCAATGATTAAGCCTAGCTCCTGGTGTGGGATTATTCTGGGTTGTGCCTGCGTGCACGAAAGGAGGGGTCTGGGGTGCATGCTAGCACAGTGGGAGGGGTCCTGGGTTCCTGGGTGGGACGCTTTGACACTAAATAAGATAATGTCACACAGTAATAAATTGGCTTATGGCACAGAATGCTGGTCGTTGTGTCAGTTTGTCCCGGGGCTTTCGGTCGGGATATCCTACACCTGGAGGGATCCATACTCTGTATATGTAAGCTTATATTCTCCGCTAACAAGCTTTCACCCTGAGCAGCCAGAGAGGGCACTAGGGTGAGGCTGCTGGTGTTGATTGTGCAAGTGCTTTTCAGCAGTGCTCATCTGTCTGTCTGCATGCTATGCATACTTGTACCTGTATACGTACACGCTGTGTGAATGTTTGCAGCTGTGCCTGTTTGGTGTACACACTCAGCCTCGCTACAGCCTGGACTTAAGGACATGGCAATGCAGCTGCCTTGCATCTGCTGGGCTATGGCATTCGGCAGCTTCTGCCACCACCCACACAACGACTCCCATGGATGGGTTTAGGAAGCCAACTCTCCTGGTCAGCCACCTTTTCTCCAGTACAAATTCTCCCCTGCACTGGGACACAGAGGGACGGCTCACGTTATAGGTAGGACAGAACAACACAGCCAGGAGATGCACATCGGCGCTGCCTGGGGAACTGGCACGGGTTGTTTGGGAGCACCGAGGCAGGTGATGCTTCCCGAGGCAAACAGAGGTGGGGGCATAGGGACCAGGAAACAGAAAGGGGTGGAGAAGGATGGGAGCCACAGGGGCACACGGTCTGCAGCAAGATCGCGGTGGAAGTGAAGGCCATGTGCATTGCACTTCTGGAGGGGCCCTCACGGCAGCAACCGCCCTGCCTCTCCCTGCCTCTTCTCCAGCATCGTCCAGCCTGGGCAGGTGTGCCCTGACAGGGCCCACTGAGGTGCCAGCCTCCCAGGACGCCCGCTGCATCTGTTGAATCCAGGATTAGCTCTGAGGTGGGAGGGGTGACCAAAGGACCTACTAATTTTGCTGCTGGGGCCATGTCCTCATACCTGGTCAACCATGTGCAGGCTAGACTCCTGGCACACGCTCCTGTTTCTCTCTCAGGTAAGACCTTCAGCATGGCAACATATGAAAACCCCACA